GTAATCTGATAGTGCCATATCTGGAGAATAATTTGGGTGGGGGAGAACTTCCCAATCCAACTCCATATTATTGTGTTGCGCCAAACGTGCCACATGTGGTCGGGCATTGTCGTGGAGAATAACACCTTTCCGATTGACGAGTGAAGGGCGTTTCTGATGATAGACTTGATTTAAACGTTCCAGTTGCTGACTATAGATCTCTGAATTGACAGTTCGCTGTGGATTGGGGAGTTCGAAATGAATTACTCCTTTGGATGTCCCACCAAATGCAAAGCATCACTCTCTGCGGATGGAGTCCAGATTTAGGGGTCGGAAGTGGTTTTTGTCTAGGACTGAGCTACTGTTTTTGGAGTTAAATATTCACATATAAAATCCATTTTTCATCACTGGTGACAATTCTGTCCAAAAATGGTTCATGCGCATTATGCGCCAGAATAGACGAAGCAGCGTTCACACGTTGGAAACGATGGTCATCGGAGAGTTCATGAAGCACCCAAGCACTTTCTTTATAGAGTTGTCCCATATTCCTTAGATATTTACCTATTGTTTCATGAGATACATGCTATTTCAGGGTTATTTCACGAGTGTGTTGTCTTGATTTAGACTCAACAAGCATCTTCAGAGCATCAATATCAATTCCAACATGTCGGCCCATGCCATCACAGAGGCAAAATAAATAGCAATAAGGATCCACTCTAAACCTTTCTACATCACCCTACATAATTCACATAAAATATATCGTTACTGCTCTGTTTTGTTCTGTAGTTGCTTTTTATGTACCTACTACATTTGATACAGCTACTTATTTTTTATCCTCCTTATCCTGGGTGTGTAAATCGATTTATATGTTCACTTATTTTGATTAAATATTTTATAATATCTGTTGTTTGTATGCCGCTTTTGTGTTCACTGTGCTAAGAAGAAGAACGTTTCATCCCCTGGTGTCGTGTACGTAATATATTATTTTCTACTATCGTAAATTAAAGCTGTTATATCACCATTCTTATTCCGTATATTCTATGTGCTTTAATCACGATAAGTTAGAAATAGTCGACTATAGTGTATATTCTTTCAATCTACACGCAATACTACATACATTAATCAATAGAAATATTAAAATATCCAAAATAAACAATAAAAGTTCAGGTAACTTAACATCACATCTTTTATTGTTAGAAATACATACACAAATGAATTACGACTTTTTCCCTGTATAAGGGTATAGATAGAAAATAGGCCCCAAAATTTATTATACACATCTCTTTCTTCCCACCCACTCCCCTCACACATGGTGCCAACGAAAAGGGAATTAGAAAACTAAGATCCACTGTGCCGTGGATCCACAGTCAATGAATTCAGTGATCAAAGCTTTAATCATGTTAATTGTCCTTTGCGTGTTTTTTCCACACACAGAGAGATAAGAAAAACTATTTTCTGAAATCCTGCTTGGCTTTTTTTATGCTTCTTTTGATTGTTGACGTCAAATCGTCTGATGACGGATGACATGGTTCAATTTTGTGTTCTGTTAATTTTAACCTGATCGATTCATAGATTCATCACTCATTAACTGCAAATAACTAAACGATAGTACATGGGCTTCGATATTCTATTGTTTAAGAATCCCCTGGAAAGTATATAACGGACTTACTTGAAACTCAATGATGATGCTAAATAACGAAGAAGGTCAGCCATGGGTCCTTGGAGGCTGGACTTGTCCGTTCCTTTAACTATAATCATTGGATCCCACTAGAAAGTGCGGGTGAATGATTAGTTGATAATCAGTAAAAATAATTTAACTTGTTTACCTACCAGTTTATTTATGTTTTGGATAATTATGACTTATTTTAATGCTACTAGTATGCCAATAATTATAATTAATGACTGCTTATCACGAAATAATTGCATTGAGGTCAGGCTTTTTTTAAGAATGGTAAATGGTTTTAGTATCTATCTTTATTATGGAACATTCGATGTCGTAATTATATATATATATCGGAAATGTGAAATCTATTATAGTTATATTAATAACGAAGATGTAGTTCATTACTAGTTGCAAGAGCGTGGATTGTATGTTTGTTTCTTTAACCAAATACATTATCATTGTAACGAATCAATTAATTATTTAAAAAGTCCTTTAAATAATCTAAAATTAATCACATTCACATAGAGACATGAATATGTTATACGAAGAAATATATTCAAACTTCCGCTTCTTGTAAGAAATTGTATATCAATTGAAATTACCTACCTACCTGGTTTTGTTTTATAAATGATAAACCAACATATCTTAATAACAAGCCCCCCAGTAGCACAGTGGTATGTCTGCGGACTTACAACGCTAGAATCCGGGTTTCGATACCCGTGGTGGCCAGAGCACAGATAGCCCATTGTGTAGCTTTGTGCTTAACTTCAAACAACAACTTAATAACAATATCATTCGAAGTAATTATGTAACCATGTTAATATTGGCAGTTAATGTCACTGAATAATAATGTTTGTCTTGCTAGAAACTGTGTAACCATGTTAATATTGGCAGTTAATATCACTGAATAATAATGTTTGTCTTGCTAAAAACTGTGTAACCATGTTAATATTGGCAGTTAATATCACTGAATAATAATGTTTATCTTGCTAAAAACTGTGTAACCATGTTAATATTAGAAGTTTAATATCACTGAATAATAATGTTTGTCTTGCTAAAAACTGTGTAACCATGTTAATATTGGCAGTTAATATCACTGAATAACAATGTTTGTCTTGCTAAAAACTTTCACTTTCTTGCTAATAAAAGCTTTGAGTTACGTCTTTGGATATTATAACAAATCTTTCTTGCTAATAAAAGCTTTGAGTTACGTCTTTGGATATTATAACAAATCTTTCTTGCTAAAAAAAGCTTTGAGTTACGTCTTTGGATATTATAACAAATCTTTCTTGCTAAACACCGTCAGTTACGACTTTGGGTATTATAACAATACTATTTTTACTAAAAAATACTTTGAGTTATGACTTTTACTATTATATCCATATTACAATAAATATATTTCTTCTATTTTATCTTATACTGCTTGTTTTTGTTTTGTTTGCTGAAATGTTTATAGTTTGCTATGAGTAACTGATGTCTATTTTGTTTTTCATAGATATTTCATAGTTTTTCAAATATTTGTGCAAAGCTACACATGGGTTATTTGCGTTACTCATCCCTACTTTTGAAGCACTAAACAAGAGGGAAGGCAATTAGTCAACATCACCCACCGCCAACTCTAGGAACACTTGAATAATGAAATTAGATTTTCACTCTCTTAACGCACTCACGGCTCCAATGTGCGAAATGTGGTTTTACGGCAACGAGACGCGAACCATAGACCCTCGGATTTACAGTCCGGCCTGCTAACCACTAAACCTCGCCAGACCCGTCGAGAATATTATGTATTTCTCCAGAATTATCAGTTAGTAAGCATATATTATAATAAGATAGTTTTAGTTTGTAATGATGTCCCCAATTTTGGGGACACTGCTAAGCTGGACAATGAGATATACATTAAACACCACAATGATCATTTTTCTAGAATTGCTGCCGCTGCTTGCTATTCTATTGATTTCTCTTCCAAAATTATGTCTAGAAATGCGTAATACGCTTTTTCAATCTGTATGACTCAGTCCTTCATCATATTAAATTACTCCAAATGAATTGCCACGAGTAAAAAGGCACGGCGACAAATCCATAAAGGATAAAGGAGGTTACTGAAGGCTTGAAAGGAAACAACTGATTTTACAAATGAACGAAACATAAGAACAAAAGGTTTTAACTACAAAGTTATGTTAGTTAGTATATTATACAAGAGATCCCACACATATTTTTTTTTTTTTTTTACAATTATTGAAATAGAAAACACAATATGAACATCCACGTTTTTCACCGTTACCAGGTTGGTGTATGTGAAATTCCACTTTTGTGAATAGTTACAAGGGAAACCGTTAGGGTTCTCACACCTTTGAAATATGTTTGTTCTTTTACAGCGTTACTAGTGAATGAGGTTTAGAAAACGCAATGATGATATTCTACAGTTGTATACATAATGCATGCTTGAAATTGAACGTCAAATAAACCAATAGTTTGTGTATTGATTAGTCAATAAAAAAAAACAGTATTGTTTTCTGAAATCAAAAATTACTTAGAAACTTTCTTAAATATAAGTAAAAGTTACGTAAATAGTAGTTTGGTTTTACACAACTTTTACTGTTAATGGAGTTACTAAGTGCCTTAATACGTTAGAACTAAGTTTCCTCCTTGTTTTGTATTCACGCACGCACACACACCCACATTTTTTTATGTGACTGAACAAGAAGGGTATAATGTTACATTCAGTAATACCGAAGAAACTGTGATACAGTTTATTAGTGTTGCTAAAGATGTTTTCTGATAGACTTCGAAGTTATGATAACCAACGGTTCCATGCACTGACTGTTTCGTGGAATATGTATCTTTTATTTAGTTACTTTGAAGCTATTATAAATTTCATATAATCTTGTTGATAGTATCTGATAAATGTAATAAAGTAACTGGAAATAGAATTTTCAACCTGATCAGTTCCTTATATGCCCGCGAGCTAAACAGTAACCTGATCAGTTTCTTATATGCCCGCGAGCTAAACAGTAACCTGATCAGTTTCTTATATGTCCGCGAGCTAAACAGTAATGCCGGCTAAGAGCCCCAACTATCACAAGGGCTTTATGAGGTTCTCTGAACGAATAGCGAAATTGACTGTCGTTTTTACAACTCGTTCATGGTTGAAAGCGCGGACCTTGTTCAACAGCATTATGTCTCGAACCCTTCGATCTGTCAGCAATACCGTTAAAAAATTTAAGCAATAGTTCACTAAGCTCTTCCAAATAATCTTGAAACGTAAAGATTTATTATAATTTGATTTTTTAAAAATTAAAAAATTGCGATACCCTTAGAATGAGTTAATCTTCAAATTGAAAAGCGCACTCATAACTGATTTGTATATTTCCTCTTAGCTTTGCTTTCAATAGCTTAGGTTGAATTGTTAAACTCTACGTGTAGTGTAATTGACCAGATTAATCTAAAAATAGCTGGTCCTACGATGACTCAGAAGTAAGTCTGCGGGCTTAAAACACTAAGAATCAGGTTTATATCCGCGGTGGGCGGAGCACAGTAAGCCTAAGATATAGCTTTGTGCTTAACAAAAATATGTAAACCTCTGGAAATAATTAAAATACTTTTTTTAAATAATACTCGTTGTACGATAGGTTTCTTTCTGTTGTATTTATAGTTGATTCTACATTTAACACATGGTCAATAAAATCATTCAATTGACTTTGTTATAGTTTTCATTCTCAAAGGTTAAGTCACACGTGTTACCGCTCGTGGATAAAGTTAGGTCAATGTCACTACCTGGTTGCACAATTAATGTCCAAAGATCATAGCCCCACCAATGTGGATTGAGAATGACCTGTGAAGTGGTATTCTAGTCACTCTAGGTAAATGCAAGGAACATTGCAACATGCGATCTTGTATAAAGTTAGGTCAATGTCATTACCTGGTTGCACAATTAATATACAAAGATCATAGCCCCACCAATGTGGATTGAGAATGACCTGTGAAGTAGTATTCTAATCACTCTAGGTAAATACAAGGAACATTGCAACATGCGATCTTGTATAAAGTTAGGTCAATGTCATACCTGGTTGCACAATTAATATCCAAAGATCATAGCCCCACCAATGTGGATTGAGAATGACCTGTCAAGTGGTATTCTAGTCACTCTAGGTAAATGCAAGGTTTTCTTTTAGACAGAAAACTTTCATTTAATTAATCTGATATGGAGTTTCATTGGAAATTTACCTGTTTGACTCTGTGAAAAAGCGACAAACGTAAGTAAACATACATAAGGATTGTGTTCTTAGTGTATTCCACTTTGTATGCAGTTCAGTTATTCCGATACGGTAGTACCTTATCTTCTCGAACCTTCTGTTCAGCGGATTTATCCAATATAGTTCCCGAGTTAATTCAGTTCTCCTAAATATACCACTGTTATAACATTATACAAATTTTTATGGCGTGTACGCCTTTCACAAACTGGTGAAGAATTATTACAGTTATACTTGCCGTAAGATATTAGTATTAGGCCTATTACGTTTTTAAACGATACATAATTCATCTAGTCCTTTAGTGATTTTTCAGAATTAGAAGAGTGTATAATGATAGTTAGGCCTGACTAGATGGGAGGTAGCAGTCCCTTGGCCCGGGGTCTGTTGAGGGGCCCCGCAGTGGGATATTTCAAAACTCACTAGAATTAGTCATCGAATTCACTAGAAATGCGTACTACTTAAAATGACTACTGCTTTTTCATGGATCCATGAAGAAATTTGTCACCTAAATTCTTTTATGAAAAATAAAATGAAAGGGGGGTGATGATATTACTGACCCCAGGGGCCTGGGCTGGCTCTCGAGGCCCTGATGATAGTATTTCAACACACTGTTTGTAATATCCAATGCCGATGATGCGTTTCGTTCAATCTAGAGCTGTTCTTGTTTGTTATATCTCAGCCGTCTTGAAGAGCTCTGGATTTGTCGAAACGCGTCGTTGGCGTTGAAATACTATTATTATAATATATTCTTCTAATTTTTAAATCCCTAAGAGACTAGATGAAGAATGTAGTGTTTAAAAATGTAATAGACCTGATACTAACGTATCAGTCTCCCAGTCTCAGGGTCAATGGTT